TACAAAATGGGTGAGACTGAGGGGTATTCAAGATAGCCATAGTGATGCCTCTTACAGAAGTCCCTGAGAAAATCTGCAGTTCTGTATGGACAGGAAACTTTAAACAGCATGCAGTGAATAGAACCATAAGTTGAATAGAGGGAAACTTGAGAGAATAGCTGCTTTTTCAGAAAGCACCGCTCATTTCTGTTAGTGACCTGTGGAAAATAGCATCTAATTTAATATCATGCCCAATATATTCTGTTAAAACTTGATTTTTTTTCCTATCAGAATAGAAAAGAAATTCAAATGATGGTGGAATAAAAGAACAATACCACTTACAAATGACTGCACTTGTTGCTTCAGTTGGAAATTGTATTATTCAAATTATACTTTATATTTTTGTTAGCAAGCATCTACCTAACAGAGTTCAGATCACTTCAGAAACTAATCCAAAAAAAATTTTTTTAACTATAATTCTTACCTTCATTCAGATAAATCAGTCAGGACTCACCCTAAGTTGTAGACTGTGAAACTAGATAGATATAGACTCTTATATAAATAATAGATAGATTTTAGATTCTTAAATCTATACAGATTCTTAAATAAATGAGAAGAAAATTTTGTTTTTGCTTACATTGTGGGTATGAAATTTAGTAAATAAGGTAGTAGACACCAATATAAAACTTTTTTTATAACCTTTTGGTTACCTAAAATAAAAAGTACCTGGCAAAAATGGCTCATCTGAACTACCATCTATACCTGTCTTACCTACTTTGTGTCATTTGTGGTTTGAGCACAACTCAGTTTTATTACACCTTCTCTGATCAAAGAAATGTCAGATGTGGTTTATTTCCTTTGCCATCTGCCTGGATGTATGTTCTCAGAGTCATGAAAGATGGAAACAGTTGTTTAAGTTGACCTCCATTAGACCTTTGGAGAATTTACTTAAAGCATCTATAATTAAAATACTTTGTAAATTTTCATGTAGTTGTAAGATCTTGACCTTGGGATCTCCTATCATTCTGGATGTTCGATCCCCTCAAAACCTACTATGTTATGAATCTACAGAACTTATCTGTTACGTGCTGTTCCTTAATTAGCAGATATATAGCTTTTGGAGTCGAAATTTGAGACCGATGACTGATACATTTTAGTAGAAATTTTTAACCGAACGCTCATCTCTGCTATGAAGATGCCACTAAGTGCTACAGGGCATTTTTTTCAATCAGCACATGCAATAGTGTCAGTCATTATTCTGTAATAGCAAATACAAATACCTAGAGTATTTTTAAGACAGTATTCCTTCTCTATTGGAAGTATGATGGAGCACTGAAAGAAAACCAAGAATGCTTTAGCATGCAGTGGGTTTCAAAGTCATTTCTGGTAAGAATAAATTCACCTTTTTCCCTCACCTCTTTAGTGTTGTATCCCATCTTCTGAAATTCCCTATGATTAGCATTGTTAGCACTACAGCAATGTTATTTAGTAAGCATATCTTTCTTATTTCTTTCGATAGCATCACAGAATCATTAAGGTTGGAAGGGACCTTTAGAGATCATGGAGTCCAACCCCCCCTGCACACGGAGGGTCACCTAGAGCATGTGGCACAGGATTGCATCCAAGCGGGTTTTGAAGATCTCCAGAGAAGGAGACTCCACAACCTCTCTGGGCAGCCTGTTCCAGTGCTCTGTCACCTTCACTGTTAAAAAATTTTTCCTTAAGTTCCTGTGGAACTTTTGGTGTTTCAGTTTCCGGCCATTTCCTCTAGTTCTATCAGTGGCCACCACTGAAAAGAGGCCAGCACCATCCTCCTCACTGCCTCCCTTGAGGTACTTATAGACACTGATCAGATCCCCTCCCAGCCTTCTCTTCTCCAGGCTGAACAGGCCCAGCTCCCTCAGCCTCTCCTCATACGGCAGATGTTCCAGGCCCTGTATCATCCTTGTAGCCCTGCGCTGGACTCTCTCCTGGAGTTCCATGTCCCTCTTTGTCAGGGATTGCAGCTGGTCTGTGAAATCCCTGGCTCCCTTAGCAGAGAATGTTAACCTTGAAAAGACAGGTCTAGATAGGTCTTAGACCTATGGTCTGCCATACAACAGAGAACTGAACCCTATTTTATACTACATATTCGCAGTCATACTGCATTACCTGGCTTCTTTACTGAGGGTAATGCTAGGGCTGATGCCCTTGTGTCTGCTGTGGCCTTGGGTCCGCTCCCTAACAAACACCAGCAACCTTTATTATCTCATCGTTTTTTTCACCAGGGCAGCTCGGCACTGAGCCGACAATTTGGCTTGACACAATCCGCGGCACGATCTATAGTTGCTGCCTGCCCTGATTGTCAAGGACAGCAGACACCTGTTTTCTATGGAGTTAACCCGAGAGGCCTACAAGCGTTACAATTGTGGCAAACGGATGTGACCCATATCTCTGAATTTGGGCGGCTTCGGTTTGTCCATGTTTCTGTTGATACATTTTCCCACGCTGCTTGTGCTACAGCCCAAGCAGGGGAGAAATCTTTA